TATTAATTTTGAAGTAAAAATAATCTATGGGATGTAAAAGCCTCGGACTTCTAACACAAAATTTACTGCCACTCAATTCCTTTGATAAGGTTTATGATAAGTTTTATCACTTCTTGGATATAATATTAAATCAAAAGACCCTACCCCCTTTGTCAATACTAGAGATGGAAACCAGGGTATCATGTATGTTAGGCAAGCATTCTACCCCTGAGCTGTATCTCTAGCCCAATCAAAATATTTTTAATACATTTTTATTTCATTTATTTATTTGTGTGTGCACAAGTGTGCAAGTTAGGAGAGAACTTATGGGGTTGATTCTTTCCTTCCATCATGTGGGTCCCAGGGATTGAACTCAAGTCATCAGGCTTGGCAGCAAGCAGCTTTAACCCACTGAACCATCTTAGCAACACTCAATCAAAAAACTCTCTGACACCATTTTTTTTTTTTGATATGTGACCTACTAGCCTCACCTTTTGTTTCTCCCTCACAGGAGGAATACAGAATTTACTTACTGTCTTCTTTCAAAGAATTAATGCAATTCTAGTCATTTCAGATATATTTTGTATAGCATTGTTTTAACAAAAAAATTAGATATTTAACATAAGGAAAACTCGAGATGGAAGAATTATGTAAGAAAGATGTAGCTAAAACTGAATTAAGACAAATGATCTTGAGAAATATGAATTAACCAGGATAAAAGGGGTAACTATAGTCGTTATAATAACTTCCTGAAAACTGTAGAGTGCTTCATAAATGTATCACTGATCACTGGTACAATACGGGACTGGGGGGAAAAAATCTATACTTCTAGGCTTGTTTCCTATGTTTACATAAGAAAGTTTGCAGATAATATCCAAAGACAGTTTTGGAAAGGTATCAGTTAGTTTGTGTATGATGTGCATGTGGTGTGTGCACACTTGTGTACACATATGTGTGGAGATCAGAGGTGGACATTGTCTTCCTCAGTTTCTCTCTACCTTATTTTGACACAGGGTCTTTCAATGAACCTGGAGCTCACTGACTGGCTAGACTACAGGGATCTGCCTCTCCCTAGATGTCCTTGGAGATACTGATGCACACCACTACACCCAGCTTTTTTTTTTTTAATGAGTGCTGGGAATCTGAACTTAGATCTTCATATTTTCCTTAGCAAGCACTTTATCTGACTGAAGCATCTCCCCAGCCCCTGTTATGCTTTGGCAGGTTATCTGCTTATACATAATTACATAGCCACTTTGAAATGCCTGGTAAGAACTATTTTGAGCCACATTGCAAATCTGAGGATGTTGAGTGAATTTTCTACCTGAATTCTACAAAGAAATCAAGACTTTATATTTGGAATGCCAGATATTAAAATTAAAAGAGAGGCAGCTATAGAAAATATATTTTTTTTTCGTCTTTTTGAGACAGTATCTCCCTGTAGCCCAAGCTGGCCTGGAACTCACTATGTAGACCAGGCTGGCCTCAAATTCACAGAGATCCGCCTGCCTCTGCCTCCTGAGTGCTGGGACTAAAGACATGCGCCACCACGCTTGGCCACAGAAAATATATATCTAACACTTATCTTTGCTAAATGAAACCTCATTCTTTTAATGAAGTCAATAAAAGAACCATTCTCCCACATTTTATAATTTTAATGTTTAAAATGATATCCCAATACTTTAGGTAGAAAGCATATTACAGCAGACATGCCGAGGTGCCCTTTTAATTGAAATGTAAAGTATGATAAAATTTTAGATTGAGTCAGAAGTTTGCTGTTTGTTTTTTATCAGGTGGACATTTGTGTCCATGTAGATAATCACTGACATTCACTGTTTTTTTAACTTATTTAATGACCACATAATTTATAGAATCATTTCATTACAACAGCATTGGCATAGTTAATACCTGTTTCTAGAGCAAAGATGCATCTCTCAAAATTTGCTATAATTTTTAGGTTCACAGTGTTGAATTAATACAGTTATACATTATTGTACTCAGTATAAACCCTCTAAGACATAAAATTGAATGAGGTTTTAACCTTTAAGAAAGATCTCCATTTCATTTTAAAATATACTGTTTCAATATAGAAAAGCTCTTTTTTTTTTTTTTTTTCTTTGGTCTTTTTGAGACAGGATCTCCCTGTAGCCCCAGGTGTCCTGGAACTCACTATGTGGACCAGGCTGACATTGAACTCACAGAGATCCACCTGCCTCTGCCTCTGCCTCCAGAATGCTGGGATTAAAGGCGTGTGCCACCACACCCGGCCTAGAAAAACTCATTTTTAATGCAACTAACACTTAGATGTTTGCATATGCATCTCTAATTTCTGTATATCTGATTATTGCTAGTCACAGTCACTTTCAGAGATCCTTCGCACCTGAGCATGGATATAAATTCATCAGGTAGATTTCAATGGTAATGTTTTTCATATCTCCTAATTAACATGAAGCAAATTTTTATGCTTCTTTCTCAAATATAAATCATTTTTATTTGTTGATTTTTTTGTGTATTTTTCATATAGAACATCCCAAACAATCTTTTTCATCTTTATACCCACATCCGAAATGACACCCTCCCATAACCCGTCCCCCCACTGGAGCTCATATACTCTGTCATCCGTTACTGTCCACTGTGTTGTCAGTGCCCCCAGCTGTTCCCCAGTGCAATTCCATCCACTGAGCCTAGTCAGCCCTTGTTTTAGGAAGATCAGCTCTTCCTTATCAAGCAGCAATCAGTTGCCAACATTCCTTTAGATAAGATTGGGGTTGAGGTCTGCGGTTCATTTTCCCAGCTCTATGCTGGGTTACTGTCTGGGAGTCTCTTGGGCCACCCTGGCCAACAACTCAAAGGACAGTAACTCCTGTCTGGCATGTTTCTTGTTATGTAGCCTTTAACTATACACATGGACTCTTAAAGAATTATACTAATCACTTTAATCTTTGGTTACACTTCACTACATTCACTGTTTATTGAGAGGATCAGTCAGTTGCTGATGGGATTCTCTTTAGAGTTCTTACATTGTCTTTTTAAAAATATTTTATAATTTTTATTTTATGCATGTATCACCTGCATGTATGTAAGTGCACCTGTGTCGTACAATGCCTGAGGAACTCAGAAGGTGTTGGATCCCTGGAACTGGAGTTACAGACAATTTTTAGCCAATATGTGCTGCGAACTGAACCCAGGTCCTCTGCAAGAGCAGCCAATGCTCTTAACCCCTGAGCCATCTCTCCAGCCCCTTACATTGTCTTATTAAGATAGATAATAAAGCAGTGACTGATTTACCTAAAGAAAAAGGATAGAGTTTTTTTTTAATACAACCTGATTTCCAGTTCCCATTGTTTCAATCACAAGCATTTCTGTCTTTAACTTTATATATACAGTAACATTTCCTGTGTTGTTTGATTTTCCTTGTACTTGATGAAGATTTGAGACAGGTGGATCTCAGTGAGTTCAAGGCCAGCCTGGTCTACATAGTGAGTTCCAGGACAGCTGGGGCTGTAGGGAGACCCTGTCTCAAAAAGACCAAAAAAAAAAAAGAATTGGCATTTCCAGCATTCATTAAAGATCTGAGAAAGCTGGGTGTGGTGGCACATGCCTGTAATCCCAGCCTTGAGAGGCAGAGGCAGGCGGTTCTCTGAGAGTTCGAGGCCACCCTGCTCTACAAAGTGAGTTCCAGGCCAACTGGGGCTACAGGGAGACCCTGTCTCAAAAAGAAAAAAAAAAAGGATCTGAGATGACTCTTTATTTAATACTTTATTATTGTTTTTATTTTATGTGTGTGAGTGTATTGCCTGCATGTGTGTAAATGCACCCATGCCTGCAGAGGTCAGAAGAGGGCATCAGATCAGTCTTTTCACAGCAGAACACTTCCGTAATCAACTTGTCTGAAAGATAACTCAAGAATGGCAGTCCCAGTAACAAGTCCATGTGTGCTCTAGGATATCTCCGTTGCCTGTGGGCACAGAGCTAGGAGCTCAAACAGAACAGAGTGTTGATGTCTGCAATGAGTGAGGAAGAGGAGGATGGAAATGATGATAATGGTGAAATCAGCTGATGTTATTGTTTTCTTACTGTGTGCTGAGCACCACAGCAAATTTTTTCCGGACATCACACTACATCTCTCCTGCCAGTGTCATGTTTTCTAGTGTCGCATCACGTTTTTTGGCTAGTAATGATCCAGAAGAGTGGTGCAGATTAAAATCATCATCTAAGCTAGGCATGATAGTGCACACCTGTAATCTCAGTACTTGGAAGGTAAAGGCAGGAGAATCAGGAGTTCCAGGCCAGCCTGGGCTACATAGGAAAACCCTATCAAAAAAAGAAAAAGAAATTCACCTTCTGCAGTTGCTCTTGAGGCAAAGAAACAACCAGAAAATACAAAGTGAAGTCTACAGTTCTAGCAAACAATTTCAAACCCCAGGTTCTAACCAGGCAGCCCAGAATGTAAATGTTAATGAGACCCATGGACTTTTAGAATTGAAGATCTGTATCTAGCAAAAATCTCACCTCTTCCTTTCTTTCTTTTGTCTAATTCTGATACTCTTTTTCTCTGTCTCAATTTTAATATTAGGGTTATTTTTATGAAGTTTAGCTTATAACACAATTAGAACCAAAAAGTGATGTGAGCATATGTATCTGTTGAGATGGACTGACATGATTTTCCTCTATTATTTTATTTCTCATGCTTGTTATAAGATTAGACTTTTCTTCCTGCTGTGTTGTAAACACTGGCAGTGCAATGTGTGTCCTCACTCTCAGTCTTGTTTTTCAATCCAGAAGGAAGTCAGTTTTTATTTATAAATCTTAAGTTGCATCGTGTACATATTAGGAATATCATACCTAATTTTGACCATACATTAATCATACAGTTGAGTTAGCTAGCAGCTTTTATTTTTACTTGAAAAGGTTGAGGAAATGGAGAAACCAGACACAGTGTTAGGAATGATCGTATAGTAATTGTAGCTATTGCTCTTGCTGCTGCTAAGCCTATTTGTATGCTCATCTCTCTTCTGTAGGTGGTTGCCTATCACTATTGCCAAGCAGATAATGCCTACACTTGCCTAGTACCAGAGTTTGTCCACAATGTTGCTGCACTGCTCTGCCGCTCACCTCAGCTGACAGCTTACCGGGAACAGCTTCTTCGGGAGCCTCACCTGCAAAGCATGCTGAGTCTTCGGTCCTGTGTTCAAGACCCCATGGCCTCCTTCCGGAGGGGAGTCCTGGAGCCCCTGGAGAATCTCCACAAAGGTACAGAGGAGACCAGAAGGAACCCAGTCACTTGGGTCATAATATAGAAATTATTTTTATTACATTGCCAAAACTAAATGTCCCATAGCATATATCTTCAGGATACGATTAGCAAATAAAAGGTTTTTATTTGGAGTGTGATGGTGCACACATGTAGTCCCAGCACTTGAATCCAGGAATTTGTGACCAACCTAGACCATGTAACAAGACCCAATTTCAAAACAATTCCTGTGAGAACTGCTACTTCCTCCTATGTAAAAATTCTCATTTTCATTTCCAAATGATTTCAGTTTTCTTATAATGAAGATAGCTTCTAATCTTTTTGTAAAACTCAAATAAAGCAGTGAAATTGTAGCTCCAATTCACTTTTCCAGAGTTCCTATAGTTAGAAAGTTCCCAGTCTCTATGAAATATTTCTTATTATACCGTCCATTCAGGTAAAGCATCCGTGGTTGTACAACCCTGTATTTATACTTTTTTTAAAAAAATCACTTAATTTTGGGGGGCTGGAGAGATAGCTCAGCTGTTAAGAACACTGACTGTTCTTGCAGAAGACCCAGATTCGAATTCCAGCATCTCCATGGCAGCTAACAACTGTCCATAACTCCAGTTCCAGGGGATTCAACAGCCTCTTCTGTCCTCCGTGGGCATTGCACGACACAGGTACACTTACATACATGCAGGCAATACACGCATACACATAAAAATAATTTTTTAAAAAAATCACTTAATTTTTCACTTTGAAAGGTACTTAAAAGGCATAAGGATATTTTGTGGAGCATAAATTGTATCAGGAAAGCTAGTTTTTTTTAAGTGAAAATAAAATGGAATGGACTGTGTCTCCCCTATGCCCATTCCTTTCCTCCCCAGCTCCGCCCTTAATGGCAGTGCATACCTTCCTAAATGTCTCTTCTCTACTCTCTTTTTTTAAAATTTGGTGTAGGGGAGTGATATGAGGGTGGTACATGCATGGTACATGAATATGGGTGTTCAGGTGTACACATATGGAGGCCAGAGGAGGAGAGGGCATGTCTTCCTCTATTGTTCTCTGCCTCACTACCTTGAAACAAGGTCTCTCACTGATTCACCAGTGAGCTTCTGAGCTCTTCCTGTCTCTCCCCAACAACACTAGGGTTACAGAGACACCCATGGTTTTTTTACATGAGTGCTTAGGTCTCTAAGTCAGGCACAGCAAGCACTTTATCCGTGGAGCCATCTCCTCCCCCTTCGCTATACTCTTTTTTTTATTACATTTTATTTATTAATTTTATGTGCATGTGCATACCCTATAGCATGTGTGTGGAGGTCAGGTGACAGCTTGTAGAAGTTGGTTCTATCCTACTCCTGTGCATCCCAGGCTCAAGCTCAGGATGTCTAGCCTGGCAGCAGGTACCTTTACCTGCTGAGCCATCTCACCAACCTCCCTCAACTTTTTAACAGTGTTTTTGTCAATGTTGGGTGCCAAAAAAAAAAATATTAGATTCTGAACAGTCCTGTTTACTGCGAACTTAAATAACTTTCTCAGAGCTTTCAATTGTTCTGTAAGGAAAAAAAATATTTACAATTTCTGTTCTCCTAGCTATAATCTGCAGTTACTGCAACTCTAATGCTGATTACTTTATTTCTTATCAACTCTTATGACCTTTGTCCCTATTTCTGCTGCCTATTAGCTTGACTATAAACTAACTCTTTAAAAATTCTTAATTTTATGTGTATGATTGTTTTGCCTGCATGTATGTAAGTGCACCCACATGCAGTCCCCACAGAGGCCAGATCCCTTGGAACTGGAGTTACGGACAGTTGTGAGTAACCATGTGGGTTCTGGGAACCAAATCCAGGTCCTCTGCAAGATCAGCCAGTGCTCTTAACCACTGAGCCATCTCTCTAGCACCACATTAACCCTTTTTAAATTTGGACTTTCTCCACAAACATTTTTTAGTATATTTCTGATGCATTCATTCAGTCTCTTAATCCTGTTAATTCTTCCTTTTTCATGGTCTCACATCTACTTGTCTCAGATCTGCTCCCACCATTATGACTTTCAAACTGTTCAATCACCCCATATCTTAACTGTATTACAACCTCTTCCTAGTCTTCTCTGGTTTAGTATTTCTTTCATATCATAACATAGTTTGAAAATCTGCAGACTAGGATTAAAAATTTATAACTACTCATGGCTGTACATGACTGGCCCTGAGGCTACTAATTCCCTGATGCTCATTGATGGGTTGATTTTGAAGATAGGTTTCACTGTTTTGCCCAAGCTGGTAAACTCCTAGACTCAAGTGATCTTCCCACCTAAGCTTCCCAGATAGCTTAGACTGCTTTAAGCATGCTCAACTGTATCTAGCTAAGTGATTCTTGTTAAAAATTGGGAGCACCTGCCACAATACACATATGGCAATCAGGGACAACTCTATGGAATTGGTTCTTTCTTCCACCTTTACATGGGTTCTAAAATCAAACACGTAGCTCAGGTGGCAGGCACAGCAAGCACCTGTGCTTACTGAGTCTTCTCACTGGCCCAGTAAGTCATTTTATGAACACTTCCAACCTACTTATAGCATACCTGATGGGGAAGTTCTGTCCAGTGTACTTCCTCCAGATAAGACTTCATAAAGCATTGCTCTGACCACTTAATTTCTCAGTTTAGAAACCAAGGATTCCCTGTTGCCTACTGAATTAACTTCCAGCTCACTAGTCTAGCATTTAGGGTGCTTAATGACCAGGATCCAGTCTACTTTCCAGCCCTGTTCACTTTCATCCTTATGACTCTGTGCTTGCCTGAGTTGTACTCAACACACTGCTACATCTATGTAAGAATTTTAAATTTGGCTGGGTGTGACCCACGCCCTTAACCCTAGCACTCTGGAGGCAGAGGCATGCAGATCTCTCTGAGATCAAGGTCAGCCTGGTCTACATAGTGAGTTTCAGACTAGCTGGGGCTACATAAAGAGATCCTGTCTCAGAAGGACATAAAATAAAAAAGAATTTTAAATTTTACATGAACATTTACTATGTGCCAGATAAACTTTGTACTGTAGTCATTAGTTATTTCTGCACTTACATCTTTAACTAAATTGTGTGCAACTGAAGTTTAGAAACTTATTTTCATTCAACTTTTATCATTCATAGTAGGCATTTCAGAAAATACATTTTGAATAAATGCCTAAAGGGGGAAACTGCTCATATGCTTGGGTATTTTAAAAGAAGAAATGATAATGGGAAGATCTATACCTGGCCGGCTGTGGCAGTGCACACCTTTAATTCCAGCACTAAGGAGGCCAAGGCAGGTGGATCTCTGTGAGTTCAAGATCAAGCTGGTTTACATAGCAAGTTCCAGGGAATCTGGGGCCACAGGGAGATCCTGTCTGTCTCAAAAGAAACCAAATTGTTTAAAAAATATGTACCTAATGGCTAATTCATAATTTTACTGTAAGATATATCTACTACTCTATTACTAGCTTTAGATATACTGATTACTATAACTCTGAGTTAATTCACCTGCCTCGTTTTATTCTCATTTACCCTTAAAATCACCAACATGAGCAGCAGTTGGAAACACAATTTATGAAAAGTTTTAAAATATATGATTAACTCAAAAGAAGGAAGAAAAACAAAAAAATTAGAAAAGAAGCAAGATTAAAAACTTGTTAGTTGTGAAATATGTACTAAGCACATTACAATGAAGAAACTTCCAGGACTGAATAAAAAGCAAAATCTGATCCATATGCTAGCTACATGAAGTTACTTAAAATGATGATGCAATTGAAAGGGAAAAGTTAGAGTATATACTAGATGAATGTAGAACATAAGAAAGCTTGAGTGGTTGCTAATGTAAGAATAGACTTCTAGACAAGCAGTATTAGAAGAGGCAGTTAATAAGCATAAAAGAACCAATTAATCAGGAAGGTTAAATAATCCTAAATTATGCACCTAATAGCAGAAACTCAAAATACATGAATCAAACTAACCAAACTCAAGAGCTTAATAAACAAAAACACAATTAGAAATGGAGATTTTAGTATCTCTCAGTAGCTATTAAAACAAGTGAGAAAGCCAGGCAAGGTGGCGGCCAAAAGAAAAAGGTGAGAAAAATTAGTAAACATACGGAAGATTTAAACAATATTATTAACCACTTGGATCTGATCAGCATTACCCAATAAATGTAGAATATATATTTTCTTTTTTTGATGGGGGGGGCTTTTAGGGACACAGTTCCCCTGTAGTCCCAGCTGGCCTGGTACTCGCTATGGAGACCAGGTTGGCCTAGATCTCAGAGATCCACCTGCCTCTGCCTCCTGAGTACTGGGATTAAAGACATGTGCCACCACGCCCAGCTTAGAATATACATTTTCCTTAAGAGAACATGTACCATATTCTAAACTATAGAAAAGGTGTCAAATTTTCAAAAGGTCTGCCAGTTATGATATTTTTTTTACCTATAACTCCAGCCATGTGGGAGGCTAAGGTAGGAGGACTGTGAGTTTAAGGCCAGGCTGGGCTACACAGTGAGACCCTATCTCAAAAATATATGTATATGGTTAAGATATCAGACTAGGAAGATAGCTCAGTTCATAAAGTACTGGGACCTGAGTTTGATACCCAATACCTTTATTCTATAAAAAGAAAAAGGGAGGGAAGGAGGGAGGGAGGGAGGTGGCAATGCTTGGAATCCTAGTGCTGGAGAGGTGGGGACAGGAGAATCAGTGGAGCTCGCTAAACATCCAACCTTGCCTACTTAGTGAGTTTCTTGCTAGCAAGAGACTCTGTCTCCAAAAAAATGGTGAACAGCACCTGAGGAGCAACACCAAGCTTGTCTTCTGCTGAACACACACACACACACACACACACACACACACACACACACACAACCAACCAAAAAGTCAAAATCTTATGAAAAATGGTCTCTAAAACAATGAAATTAAATTAGAATTCAATAACAATAAAATCTCTAAATATTTATAAATTAGCCCACTTCTGAATAACCTGTGGGTCAA